ACAATTTCAGTCATAAGTATCGCTTTGAGCTCAAAAAACGTGCGGAAATAGTTAAAATGTACATTGAGTGCAATCGTTCAGTTGTTGCAACACAGCGTTGCGTGAGAAAGGTCTGAAAAACTTTTTTGGCTTCAACAAGATGTTGCAACATGTCACACAACGGAGTCAACGATGAAATTCTTGCTGCAAATTTTCACCGGGTGTGTGGTACCGAAAGGAGGGGATACACCAAGATCGCCAGATTTGACTACAACAGACTTTTTCTTGTGGCGCTTTTTGAAAAGCAAAGTGTAGGCCAACAAAACGAAGACTTTGGACGAGCTAAAATCGCTGCGATATCACCCGATAGGCTGAAAAAATGTCATGGAAAATTACGAAATTCATTTGATCGACGTTGTTTTTCGAACACAACTGGAAAAAAATGTAAGGCCTCAAATTTTATAATTGAAAATGTTTATCAAAATTCATTGAAAATTGTTTAAATTATTTAACATTTCCATTGACCACATATAGATGGCGCAGCCTGTATATTTTAAAATATTTATTTAAAAAATCTGAAAAATAAATAAATTTTGCAAAATGGGCCTCAAAAGAGAGTGTTTGCAAAAGATTCCAAAGCAGATGGAGCAAGAAGTTTTCATCCAAAAACAGAGATTATAAAAGGAAACAAATGATTAATATGTCAATACAGAAAAAACTACGGTTATTATAACTTTTTAATATTTGATTTGGTGTTGAATACCGCTGGTAAAAAAAGGAATTCGCACACATGCATACATATTATGTATCTCTCGCTACAACGGTATTGCTTCAACTTCAATAGAAATTGATAAATGATGCTTATGTGCGGTTTTTGACGATATTGTACCAATTAGGTACACAACAACGACCACAGACGCGTCATATTTGAAGACACACACATAGAGGCATACATCAATTTTACCGTTAGTACGCAAGCTTCATTATACATGCTATCTTTCAGGTGCACCGCTACAATAATGGTGCGGCAGACAGACAAGTGGCTTTCATCAGCAATGTTCAGTGCAAATATATATGTATACGCATCCCTATACATACACATACATGTATGCATATTCACATACAGTGTGCTGCATCAGCGTCAATCAGCATCACTCATACGCCCCAGCATGCAATTTTCCACAAACCACTTTTCCATCTAAATGCATACATATGTACGTACTTATATACACACACCAACATCTGTACATACATACATACACATTTTGTTTGTTTTCTGTGTTGCAAATCATTTCCAATGTGTCTTTCATGCGTTCCCTTTGCGCTACTGCACTCATTACACCGTTACGCCGTTATTCTTCTCCAGGTGCGTTGCGTCATTTGGTATTGTTGCAAAGTGTATGTTTGCTTGTGTGTGTATGTGTGTGTGTGTGTGTGTGTGTGTGAATGTTTAGGATTTGCGGTAATTTCTCATCTATTTGCGTGCTGCCACAATGCATCAGCGTTCGCCAATTATCAAAGCGTTGAAAGCAAAATACAACAAAAACTGCAACAACGACAACATCAGCCGAGAAGTGTGCTCTAAATGAGCCACGTTGGCTTGGCATGGCTTGACTTGGTCTTTTGTGCAACCCGTCAACTTAAATCAAATGTGTGTCGTCATTTAAAGACTTCGCAGCCGCTCAACGCTGTGTCTCGCACATAAAAACGGACTAAGAGAAAACAAATAACAACAGTCAAAGTTATCGACTTCACTGCGCCCCCCCGTCCGCTGCTGCAATTCTGCCTTGGTTCGACCGAATTCAGTTGCCGTTCGCAGTTATTGCGCTGCAGAAATATCCAATCAAAGCACAAACGTACCTACTCACAGGAATTTATGTATATATGAATGTATGTATGTATATGTGCTGCTTGAGTAAGGTGGATGCAACGCTGCCATTAGCCACAACTACCAAGCGCTGCCCTCCAGCTCGTTTAGAACAGCAGTAGCATGTTTCGCGCCACATCGCAGAGCTCATTAAAAGTTCAACATTCATGAATGTCAGTTTGTATTAGTGCTTAAGTACGTCTGTGTGCATGATATATGTACCACAAAACCTTCCCAACACTTCAACAATTCCAACTATACAACTCCATTCATGTACGCGCGTACATTACGCCTAACGGTCAATGACTAATCACTGGCTAAGGCTGAACACGATAAAGTTTTCCATAGTCAATCGTGGCGGCGACGACAGTGATGGCAATGGTGCGTTTAGTAGTCTTTGATTTAGACGCACTGATTACGGTATACGTGTACAGTTCTGAAATGCTCTTCCTCAATGAGCTCTCTCAGTATGCTTTGCACTTCGCCACCATCAATTGTTGATAAATACCAGGTACCGTTGATTTTCTAACTAGAAAATACTTTCGCATAAAACCAATGCAAAACAGTTTCACAGCAATGTGCTAGGAGCAGGAAGCCTAGGTGTATATATGTAGCTCGTAATGGCGTGCGCATTGAAATTGAAGCGTGTCTAATTGTCTTTAAAACTACTGCCATGATAGCTGGAATGTAGCAGAAATACTGTGAGACTGCAGTGATGTGACTTCACAAGAAAAAACTACTGCAATTTAAGAGGACTCTTGAGGGGAAAAATAGTCGAAATTCAAAACGACGGTGCTTTCCGTCGGCCGCTGCGCGAAAAACATGGCCCAACAACTTCAAGCCGACAGCCTGTTGTAGTAGACTGAGTTCAAAAATCGTTGCCATTACTTGAAGATCATGAAATCTTCTACGTCTCGAACGTCAATTGAAACAATTTTAGTTATAAATTTATTGCATGTCGCTCATTGCAGTTATAAAGGTAAATTTTTTGCTACTTTTTTTACTTTAATTACGTTAAAAAAATATAAATAATTAATTTTTAATGCTAAACTTAGGTTCAAGACGCACAAAAACCTATAAATATGTATATATTTTTAGAATATAAAGTTTTTAGATAAGAGAAATCGGACAGATAGGCCAAGCCCGCGGCTTGAAGTTAGTTCGGAAATCATGATTTCGAGAAAAACGCGTTCAAAATTTTTTGTAAGTTCGCAGTGTGCATGAAAGAGGTGTGTTCGAGAAGCTGACATTTGAAAAATATTCTTTGTGTTGCAAAATCACTTTTAATACAAACTCAAAATGCAGTATATACGGCTTTCATTTTTTGCTTAAAAAGGTGCTTTTTTTTATCCAAAAGCAGGGAGGGGGTTCCCTAAATGCATACTCAGGCTATACCTTAACACATTTAGGGCTCTATGGCAGAGAAATCAACCACAGCACGTGGTCTTGAGCCAATGAGACACGGAAAACTAGACTTGACAACGGTGACATTTTTAATTATTGGAATATATGAGCCCTTGATTTAGAAAGTGGTGTAAGTCATATTTTCCTTGTTTCGAGATATTTAGAGTTTAGCATTTTAAAGGATTAAAAAATATATTTTTTTAACGGAATATGATTTTGCCACAGTAGAGTAGTGCCAATAAATAAATATTTATTATGATTGTGAAATTTATAACCATTTTTAAAAGGAAACATGGTTTTGAAAGGTTAAAATGACTTATACCTTTTTTAAAATTAACTACATGTCTTGATAATTGACTTACACATTCAAGCAATCATTTTTTAATTAAACCCACTTCATTGTAACCAAGTAAATTATTTGTAAGTATTTAGGGAAATAAAGTGTTTGTGAGAAATTGGTGGGATATGAGGTAGTAAATCCATCATATCTCTACGTTTTTCTGCTGTTATTGGTCTAAAGGTTGTGTATAATGGAAGAAAATCAATATTTGCTTGGTCTTCCTCTTTTAGATGAGAGGTCTAATACTATGAATTCGGAATTGTCATCCAGGGAACCTTTATATGACATCATATATGGAGCATTTTTTAGATATCTGATCCGATGTATTTTTAGTGATTGGCGATTTTCTTTTCTATTATTCGTGGCTTCTTTTAGTTTAGTTTTGTCGAAAACAAATCTTTCTGAGCCATTTGTACTACTAAAAAAGTGTTTCTCTTTTACATAATTCTAATAAATTCCATTCCCTGAGGGAAGTATAAATAATTCGATATTTAAATTTTAGCTTCAATCAAACCGAAATCGCGATCGTTTGGCATTAAAGAATGGCCGGATACCATAAATTTATGATCGACTGTTTCAATATTATTATTATCAGATAACTGAACATTTTCAACCATATTAAAGCTACAGTCAGCGTCAAAAGAAAGTGTACACCTTTTTCGCAAACTTTTCACTCTTTATTTCGCTGTTAAAAATTAAAATTTTTTAAAAATGAAAGCCGTATATTTTTAAGGTTTGTGTTTAAAGGGATTCTGCAATACGATGAATATTTTTCAAATGTCAGTTTCTCGAACACACCTGTCTCATGCACGCTGCGAACTTGCAAAAAATTTTGAACGCGTTTTTCTCGAAATCATGATTTCCGATCTAACATCAAGCTCCGAGCTTGGGTCCGATTTCTTTTGTCTAAAAACTGTTTCAAAGTATATAGTTTTTTGTGCGTCTTGAACCTAAGTTTAGTATTAATAATTATTTATTGTATATTTTTTTTTTAACGTAATTGAAGTGCAAAAAGCAGTAAAAAATTTAATTTTATAACTGCAATGAACATTATGCAATGAATTTATCGTTAAAATTGTTTCAATTGACGTTCGGGACATAGAAAATTTCTTAATCTTCAAGTAATGACAACGATTTTTGAATTCAGTCTACTACTACAGGCTGTCGGCTTGAAGTTGTTGGGCCATGTTTTTCGCGCAGAGGCCGACGAAAAGCGCCCTTTTGTAGCCGTCATTTTGAATTTCGAATATTTTTTTGCCGTTCTAGAATCTCAAATAATAGACAAATTTTATAGTCACAACCGGAAAAGGCGCACGTTTAATTCTCCCATAAAAAATACAATTTTGCTTGATTTTTGCCCATTATCAGGGGAGGGTCCCCTTAAAATGCAAGATAAATAAAAAGATTTTTTGGAAAATTTCCCGCTGATATTGCAAATAAGTTTATATTCAGACTTCCACAGATTAAATCTTATTAAAATGCATATAGATAAATGATGAATGATCTTCTAAAATACATATTTACATGAGAAAAACACTTACACACTTAGACATAAAAAAAAATTATTTTACTTCACTAAAATTGTCATTCTAATATGGAACACTTAAAAAGTCTGTAAAAAAAAATCCGCTTAGCAGAATATGGCAATTTGAAGTCTCTTCACTTCTCTGCAATCAATAACAAAATCCGATTCATCAAATCATTGGCAACCGTCTCATTCAGCGTATTTAGGCGCGCAGCCAAAAAATCGCCGAACTTGGTGTAGAGTATTTCACGAGCCGAAGGCTGACTTGGCTTTGTCAACATGCCCATTGTATATGTGCTTGCGGCCGAGAGCCGCCCATCATCCAACATATCAACATCCGGATCGTCGAGATCATCTAATTCCAGATCGGGCTCAGCAAAATCTTCATCAATGACCAGACTTGCTGACGAAGGTGGCAAATGGGTTTTAGTTTGACTTTTAAAAACACCATTGCTGTTGTTGTTGTTGTTAGTATTGCTGAGATGCATGGCAATCGGTTTTGGAAGTGAATTTAAATTTGAATTGTGCTTGTACTTGACTGCTGCCATTGTGGGTGATGCGTTGCGACGCGGTGAATAAGATGAATTGTGCTCATTAATGGTCACCGTAGTGAGCGAAAGTGTATCCGGTGAATCGGGTTCATCTTTAATGTAAATCGACGGTGAGCTCGAAGCGGATGAGTGTGAACTCGAAATGGCTACCAAAGCATGAGTGTCAGGTGGTGCAGGTAGTTGTGATGGTTGATGTTGTTGTTGTTGCTGTTGTAGCTTTAACTTCAGCTGCGCTGGTTGTAAGGGCGTTTGGCGCTGCTGTTGCTGTTGTGAGGAGAGTCTGGTATCATCGGCTAGCATAGGATTGCCATTACCGAGGTTTTGTAATGTGGACAACGCATTGGCGTTTAAGTTGAGTATCACATCTGGAGGCTGTTGTTGTTGCTGCGGCTGCTGCTGTTGCTGCTGTTGAGCGCCAATTAACGTTGGAATATGTGGACTGTGTTGCGTATGTGGCAGGGCTGTTGGTGCACTTGCCGTGAGCGTCAGTTGTTGCATTTGTGGCAAGCACAAGCCGATCGGCGGCTGCTCCTGCTGCTGTTGTTGCTGCAACGGCTGGTATGGCGGTGGTGGATGTTGCTGTTGTTGTTGTTGTTGCTGTTTTTGTTCGCTTTCACGCGCGTACTGTTGATTGTTGGGATTATTCGGATCGTTCGGCGCGAAATATTGATACTCATCGATGGCGCTGCTATTGTTATTGCTATGCTGTGCTTGTTGCAGTTGTTGTTGTTGTTGAGTATTAACATCGGCAGCTGTTTTATTACGTTCGCGTGATCTAAAAGATACAAAAAAATTATTACATTTTTTTTGCATTATTTATTTAATTAATTAATTTTTTTATTTATTTAAGTTTTTTTTTGGTGCAAACTTACTTGCGCTCCCTTATGACTTCCTTAAGAAAAGCCATCGCATCGTAATACTCCCACTTGGACTTGAAACGTACACCCAACATCTTCTCGTGATTCAACTCGCGCCGAAATATCTCACGAAGTGAAGTGAACGTGCGCTGCACTCGCTCCCCGCTTACGCCGAATACGCGCCCAAGCTCATTCCATTTCAGCGCCTTCTTCTTATCCGACCGCTTGTAGTGCGGCAGGCGACAGTCCCAGAGTATGGGATTCACGCGCACCAACTCGATGAGGCGCCTCTTTTCGATGTTGTGGCGTGAGAATGCCATCTCACCCACATTTGGTGTCGGCTCAGCCTCAATGGCCGCTATTTTGCTGTTTTTTAACTTTATTTATTGCCAAAGATTGACTTGAAAACTTCAATACAACTACTTAAATACCGTTAGATCACGCTGGTGTGCGCTTAAATGCAGTTTTTACTTCCGATAGCAACGATTTTAACACTTTTCTTACCAATTACACAATTGCAACGTTCTTTGTGTATACACTTTATCTAACTGTTATTTGCACACAACGTAAATTTACTCTCCTTTACACGCACACATATATGTGCATACATACAGATGTGCATTTATACATTGAACTGCATTTGGCTCTGTGTATTGCGCATTGGCAACAATAGTTTGGCAGCGCTCTCTCAACTACTTCGCTCGGCGTGTCGCTCTCTCGCCGTGGCGCTCTATTAACGTTTTTGGTATGAGTTCCGTTAACTTTTGTAGTACACTTGTGGGTGTTGCAACCGTTAAGTTAATATGTGCTAGTATTGGTGTGGCAGCAACTCTACCAATAATTGTACTGCGCAGACGCCGCTCTATGGTGGATGCTACAATGAGAGAAAAGTGTAAAATTAATGTAGGAAAATTATTGAAGACAAAGGTAATATAAATTAGACTTAATAAGCAATAATGATTAGCGTAAGGTAGGGAAAGACTTTATTCATAATTTATATGTACAAACATATGTACACATATGTATATATGTTTAATGTGTCGTACAACAGCATGTGTGGGCTTAGTCTGTACAACTAAAGGAATACATGCTCCTTGGCATCACACAACTTTAAGCAGCATTACACCTCATTAATAATGCAATTGCAAGTAAAGTAATTTTAATTATTCAGGGTTAATGACCTTCTGACTAAAGCCAGTCGGCATTTGTATTTACTATACACTGTCTGCATGTTGCAAATAATTGGATATGTATGTATTTATATGGTTAGATATTTTAACTCAACAATATTAGGCAGCTGATGTAGGTGTGAATATTTGGAAAATTTTCATTGTAGCAGAGAAGAAGTTTATTAAAAAAAATCGTGATGAAATAATACAAAACATTCAGCCAAACAGCTTAAGAGTAGTGAAATGGACACACAGGGGTATTTTTTTTTTTTTTTTTTTTTAAATGGTCGTTGCATTGTTGACCTTCTCAGCGCGGTCAGTCTGTGGCGCAATTCAAAAGGCTTAATTGGAAATAGGGTTAATTTTATCTTTTTTTTTTTTTTTTGGGCACAAGGGTATGCGGCTGAAAATTTTGGGAACTGTTGTTGACATAAGACAACTCGACACAACACAAAAAAATTTCTAAATAAAATAAAAATTGCAAAAAGTCAAGAAAAATTGCTTATCTCCTCACTTTTTTTTAATTTTTTATTTTTTATTTGTTTTTTTTTTTTTTTAATTTTTCAATTCTTCTTTCACTAATATTGAAGGTTTTTTGTTATAAATAAAATACGCGATAAAAATTTTCATGATAATGATCGCTCACACGTTCCCGCTCCACTGAAAAAGGTACTTGATTGGGAAATACCACTCCACTCACCGCATTGGCCAGACATTGCGCCAACCGACTATTCAAATATGGCGGCGAAGAACTGATAGAAAGGTGAAAACATGTCAAACGATTGGATCCTAAGTGTATTATATCGAAACGACACCAATTACCGTGGCATAAACATCCTTAATATCGCTTATAAGGACCTATAAAGCGTATTCCGTGAAAAACTAAAGCCCACCGTCAACAAACTGTTTGAACTTAATCAGTGTGGCTTTAGACCTGGTAAATCAACTATTGACCAGTTATTCACCATGCCTCCAATCTAGAATAAGACCCATGAAAAGAGTATCAACAACCACCTCTCTTTCGTCAATCAATTTTAAAGCACCTTTCGAGAGCACGAAAAGAAGCCAGTAGTCTTGAATTCCTGAATTTCAGGGTGGGGAAGAGCCTCTCCGAGCTATTCGTAACCAAATTGAAATTTCAGACAAGGTGATTCCCTTTCGTATGATTTTTTTAATTAATTGCGAGAGAAAAAAATGCGAGCTGCACAGTTAAACAGAGAAGACGCAATCTTCTATAAGAGTACCCAGCTGCTGGCGTACATAGATGGTATTGACATTATTGGCCTCAGTAACCGCGCCGTAAGCTCTGCTTTTTCCAGAACGGTTAAGGAAGTGAATCATGGATCTGGTAGTGAACGTGGACAAGGCAAAATATCTTCTGTTTTCAAACAAACAGTCGTTGCATTCACGACTCGCCTCCCGCGCCACTGTTGACAGTCTTGACATTGAATTGGTAGATCGTTTTGTCTTTCCTGAAACCAGCATTAACTCCAACAATAATATCAGCCTTTAGAAAAAAGAAAGAGGGGAAGGACGATTTATGGTCCTCTGGTCAAATATCGCAACCGATGGAACGATGAGCTGTACGAGATATACGGTTGCATTGGAGTGGTTGAGAGAATCAAGAGACAGCGGCTATGAAGGGTAAATAATGTGGCCCAAATGGATAAGAATATACCAGCTTTGAAAGTTTTCGAAGCAGAGAAAGAGAAAGAGCTCTAGTCCGTTGGTCTTCTCAGGAAGAGAGGGAGCTGGCGGCAATTGGAAAACAGTGAAAAAACTGAATGAATGGCGCGGACTTGGCCTTAATCGCGTAATCGGTGTGTCTATGCCACTAAAGAAGAAGAAAAGTTCCTATTATAGGTCAAGTAAAAGTTTCGTTTGGTTTTTTATTGATTTTTCAAAATATGATAACTTTGTGTACATTCGTCCGATTTAAGTGAAATTTGCGCCGTTTTGTTCATTCAGTATACCCCTCTCGTAGAACGTTGCGTCCCCATTGGCGAAAAACTCGGAGAACCAATTCTCGCAGGCCTCTCTTGAGGCCAACTTCTCATCATTAAGCCCGTTTGCTATGGGCAGGAAAAGATGGTAATCACTTGGTTCCAGGTCCGGCCTATAAGGTGGGTGCATTAGGACCTCCCATCCGAGCTCCTGGAGCTTCTGGCGGGTCACCAAAGATGTATGTGGCCTGACGTTGTCCTCAAGCGGTCCATTTGTTGGTAGAAGAGGGCCGAATTGAACGTTTTGCAATAGGGGAGCAGCTCGTAGTATATGGTTCCTTGCCAATCCTACCAAACACACGGCAAACACTTCCGGGCCGTCAATACGGTCTTGGTCACCATCTGGGCCGCTTTCCCGAGCTTTGACTACGACCGTTTACGCTCGCTGTTGTCGTAAGTGACCCATTTTTCATCGCCAGTCACAATCCGTTTCAGAAACGGCCAGGTTTTGTTGTGATTCAGCAGCGATTCGCTGACGGAAACTCGTTCCATCATGGTTTTTTGCGTTAGTTCGTGTGGCCCCTAAACGTCGAGCTTCTTTTTGAATCCAAGGTTATGCAAATGATTCCAAGCGGTTTTCTGGCTTATCTTTACTTGCTCAGCAATTAAACTACTACTACTGTTTCCACTATTTCCATGATTTTATCGCAATTTTCGACGACAGGCCTCCCGACGCGTGGTGCACCTTTGACATCGAAATTACAAAAACGGAACCTAGCAAACCACTTTTGTGCTACACGTTCGTTTACAGTATCGGGAATATGAATTAAATTAAATTTTTTCAGCCGCTTTGGCTGCTTTTTCGCCTTGGTCGAAGAAAAATTTTAAAATATAGCGAAAACCTATCAAAAACTGTCAAAGACAAACTTTTAGCGCAAAAAAACACGTTTTCAGCGCCGTTTAGTATGACATGATGCGACACGTAACACGAGTACTATGGACAATAACGCAGTCTCTTAGATAAAAACCGAATGAACTTTTTACTTGACCTGATATATTATACCAAGTTCATACATATTGCATATTATTTTTGTTTTTGAAATACCTTCACCATCTGACATTGCAATACAATGTTATATATTGGTGCCGTTACAGCGATAGACAAACTGCATACAAATATGTGAGCTGATGTTTCCTATTTAGTGCATCATAGATAGATAGAATTTCGCCCTTCTAAAAGGTCGTGGTGTGCTACTTTATGGATATCCACTTATTCACATATGTAGATGTGGAAAAGATCTACTCTGAAATTTAATTTCGAGCTGCTACTCTTCTACCTTTGGATTTTGGCTGTCCGTAGATTAAAAAAAAACGTCCGCNTCGATTGAGTGCTTCGACAACAAGCGGATTCTCGAACAAACTTTTCTTCAGCGACGTGCCACATTCCACACTCGGGCGATACATAAATTATCAAAATTGCCGAATTTCGGAGCACCGGGATTACTCAATTTATTGAAGAGAGGCAATTACAATAAAAAAAAATTTACTGTCTAGTGCGCTCTTTGGTCCGTAGATGTGACTGGGCATTAATAACTTCCTTGGAAACGACAATGACGAGACCGTCACTGTCAATTGAAGAACACGATGCACGAGTGGTTTCAAGAAGAAACACGAACGCATATGGATTTAATGCGAGAGAAACTACCCGACCGAATAAACTGTTAATTCTTGAGCGCTTAAAGACGAACATTTCTCAAACTATGGCTGAGTTACCGGACAATATGTGCTGAAAAGTGGTCGAAAATTACCTCAAGCGAAGCGAATTTTCAAAAATTCGCGAGGCGGTCATTTGAAACATATAGTAAGTCATACATACCTACATTTATGTAAGTACATATTATATAATGCCAAGGTTCTAACTTAATGATAAAAAAGACATTTTATGGAAAAAAAATATTTTAAATTCATTTTGTTTAGGGTTACTTTCAAAACCGCAAAATGGATATGTCTGTATATACATATGTAAGTAGACAATTTTATTCAAATTTATACTTATACATATTTGTGTATGAAAAAGTATAAACAAAAATAATGCATTTAAAAATTTCAACTCAAATTGAAAATTAAAAAATTTAAACTTAAAATAAAAATTTAATAAAAAGGTTTGGTGTATATAAAGAAATATTCGTACATATTTATAATATAAATATAATAAAATATGCCAAATAAAAATTAGGTATATAAACAAATATATTTTTCATACATACACGTATGTACATATATAAATATATTTGTAGATACCTTTGAACAGTTATATCGAAGTAATTCTTCCCAACAAAAATTCTTAAAAACTCAATCTGCTTGACACTGGCGTTTGTTCGCTTAATATACAAATGTTTAGTTAAAAAAAAAAAGCAGCTTTCTTCTAAAGTCGTAGTCGACGACACACGACTATGCAAAATACACAATTTTTTATTAACAACAATAAAATTCAATTTATTTCAATTAACAATAAATGCGAGCAGAAACGCTTTAACAAAAACAGTCACAAACAACGGAACAGCGAAAATGAATAACAATCTCAACAACGACCATGACAACAATGATGCATAGCAACAAAAACAACAAGAACATTGAACAGCAAAGGCACAAGCAATGAACGTTTTAGTTGCAAAGTTGATTAAGTTTTTTTTTAATTTTTTTATTTCAATTTTATTTACAAAAATTTCTTACCTTTTTTTTTTGTTGCAAATGAGAACTTTTAATTTCACCTTTCAACACTTTTTATTTAATTAATTATTTACCAATAGTTTATTGAGCCTTGTGCACCAAGTGAAATATTTGTAAATACATACATACATACATACATATATGTATGTATTTGCATGTATGTATGTAGTGTCTGTGTGTATTTTTGTTAGCAACTTAGAACTTTCTGCCAACACTTTCGTTCGCAGCAAACGCCCTGCAACAACTACTATCGCCGCGGTCACTACAATTTGCCACCACAATTCGCATAAACACATGCGCTTACATACGTACATACATACTTATATACATAGATACGCACACTCATATGCCATCTTAAATATATTTGTAACAAAAGCAACAAATTTTCACAACAACCAAAGCAGGCGAAAGCAAAAACAATCAACCAACAAATCGCATACACATAATCAACGAAAACCATACAAACATACATACATATATATACGACACATAACGATACTTGAGAGAGTCGCATGTCTCGGAGAGTTGTAGATAGAGATTACAATAACAATAACAAATTCATACATGTATAAATAAATATATGCATACATACATATGTATGTATGTATGTATATGAAAAGAATTGAATGTTCAAATCAGCTGAGTCAAAATCACATTTGCAACAACAACAATAGCAACAACAGCAATAACAATAATCATATCATACCATACATAGTTTCACTTACTACATAAACAGTTAATCAACGACATTTAAATGCAATCAACGGATGCTGTACGATTCTTTGACTCTCGCTCTCTATTTCGTGGCACAACAGCAGCAACAGCAACAGCAACAAAACGCATTAACTAACTACTGTGAGCGTGATAACGTGTGGGAGCGTAAATATTTTATAGCAAATTTTGATATGAGTGCATGTGTTTTGCCTTTGTTGTTGTTGTTGTTGTTGTGGTTTTTGTTGTTGTTTATGTCATAGCAAACCAAAATTTATTAAGTTCGCTTGCATTTTGGTAAACAACTGGCGTTGGGTGGGTGTTATTTCGTTCCTCCAGATGTCAATTTAAATGAACGTAAATATGTATGTATGTATAGTATTATATATTATATAATATATCAGTCTACATAATTTTATTGTGACCAACATTAATACTTTTCATGCCGAAGACAGTGCAGGAATTTCATCAAATTTCAATTCACCCACAAGACTTAGACTCCTTTATACTTCTTAATCAGTTTAGGCAACCACCAGGGCTTTGTAGATACTTACATATGTATGTGCAAGATGAAGACCCCATGCGTAACCCGATCTCCCTACTTTCATTATAGTTTCAATTTAGTGAAACTCTAACGTTTCCTTTGCTGCGTCCAATTAATGGAGCCGCGAGAACTTTTGAGTATAAGAAACGTATGAAATGACCTAGTCAGCGTTGCCATTGAATTTTAATAACTTACTTTATACGGACTAGAACCAGCACCGAATCAATGTGGAAATCTGGCAACCGATTTTCAGAGCATACGTGGTATATGGAGTGAACACTTCTGCCGCCTGCCGAAACCGAAACCCCAATCGATGATGATGAAAAAGATGTCCCATCACCCAATTATGACGGGGTTTGAATAGCGATTACCCGCTTCGAAAGCAACAAAACGGCTGTATCCGATGGCTTATCGGCTGAGCTATTTAAACATGGCAGTGGAGAACTGATAAGGTGCATGCATCACCTTCTTTACAGTACATGGTCGGACGCATGGAATCTTGACTATTGTAATATATGTAAGTGCGCTCTGTCCAATCCACAAAAAGAGCGATCCCACAGCCCGTCCCAATAACCGTGCGGTTAGCCTCCTAAACATCGCACATAAGGCCCTATCAAGCGTGTTGTGCGACAAGCTGGTTCGACCTTATAAGATTAGGTTTAAGCCTGGTAAATCTACCATCATCATCAACATGCGTAAAAGGAGAGACAGCGGCTATGTTAGTACGAAAGAAAGTACTGAAGCTTCGAAAGTTTTTGATACAATATCCGCCGATGAGATCAGCGGAAGGTGAAGACCTCCACTTTGTTGGTTTCACTTGGCATTTCCAGCTGGCGCTAAACGTTGTATAGAAGAAGCGGTGCCCACGTCAAAGTAAAGGAAGAAGAAGAAGACCAGCATTTAATAAAAATGTTTTTCTTTTTAATTGCGATCATCACTTGGCAAGGATTACATCACAGTGGAAGAAGTACATAAAAGCTGGTCATTATTTCTATGAAAAAGTTCAGAGACACAAAATACAAATTGAAGAATGAGGTGTGTTTGCGATTTGCATAGTCAAAACTATATAAAGCTTAAAGAGGAGGAGACCAACGAGCACTACCTCTTGAAAAAGCATAACTAAAGAACCCAGCTCCTGGGGGCTAAGCATTTAATTGCGGTGAGGTATATCTGTCGTAAGAGGCGCCTAAAATCCACAGTTGAGTCTTTATACCGAAACGAATCAGATTTTCATCCAGCCCAGTACTGTTACTGTAGCAGAATTCCACCACAAAACAACTCGTTTTTTGGATCATCGTTCCCAATTCATATAACAGCCGAATATGCATATACTCTTGTAAAAGTTGGGTTTCTCAGTTGAACAATTCATATTATATTCTCCAATATTAGGATAAAAAAGTCAACTTCTCATCTGACGATTGCCTTGTCTGAAATCCCAACGATTATAATAGCTCTGACAGATATTTTTTTCTAAGGCATTATACAACATACTTCTACGTTCTTCTAAGTTCTTACCGTGGCGTACGCTTTCGTCGAACCAATTCCGCTTAGAGGCTAACAAAACATGCCATACATCTTTTCCTCATCGTCGTATTCCAACAGTAGATCATGCATGCATAGAAATTCCAATCGATCTCTAATCGAAAAGAGTCACAACTCAAAAAATCTCAAATATTCAAGAGAGGACTCTTTAGTTGACGATCTTTAACCGACGCGAGTAATATGAAAACAAGCATATCAGTGTTTTTCCAGTTAAGGAAGACTGTGCTTAAAAAATTGTATGCAGTCGTTGGAGATTTTTTCTACGAAAATCTTTACGATATGGTTTTGATCGGTAGACTGTTTTTTCTATTGAAAATGGGATGAAATAAAAGGCCTTATAATGATAAGCATAGAGAATAGACACCAAAAAGTTATCGGGCACCTTTAAAATACTTTAATAATACTACTAAAGGTTAAGATCTCTACTTATGAACGGTTCCAAAAAAAAAATCAAATTTCTTGAAGGGATTGGTCCAAGCTATGTACATGTTTTAGGCTACCATAGTAACTTGAAAAAAACAAAACCAAGAACGATAAGCACACTGAATAGGACCCGGAAGGATGTCGAGCTCATGATTTCAAGGCATGTTGGTAACAATAAAATACTTTAATAACACTCATTAAGTTTAAGAGCTCTACGTATTACCCTTTTTTGAAAAAAGCTAAATTTTATGAAACGATGGATACGTGCTAGCCCACCATAGTAATTTTTTGGAAAAATAAATAAAGTGCTTTGTCGGTTCACAAGAATGTACAAAAATGTGAGGTTAAAGTTCAAAATTTTCGGGATTTGAACTTTGTGGGGATACTGGTAAAATTTTAAAATAAAATTTTAATTTCGAGTTTTGTAAAATTTTCAGTGCAACAAAAATTTTCGTTTTTTTTTTTTGTTTTTTTTTAAAGGAGTGTCTCCAAAATTATGTTTGGTATTCATTAAGACAGTAATTAAAAAATCTGCGTATTTTATTGTTTCATGGGTAAAATCACAAAAACCAAAAATGTACGAAAAAATCGATATTTAATTTTTAATTAATTCACAAAATACATAAAATCTGCATAAAAATTTTATGAGAAACTTGAAAAAAAATCTTTAAAAATAAAGTCAAATAACGAAAATTTCGAACGTTACCTCACTTTTTTTAGGAATCTTTTAAAACGATTTCACCAATTCGAATATAGAGAAGACGAAGTAGACACATCGTATGGTTGATTATTTTTATTTTTTATTTTTTTATTTTTTACTTCTATATAAGGTGGAGGCAAAGCAATCAAACTTCTCCTCTTGAAGCACCAGACCGCATGTATTCTTCCTTCTATTTCACCAAATAACACTAATAAAATACATAGGCAATAAGTTTCGATATTTCGAATCTATAATTACACAAACAAAATAAAATAATGTGAGTTGGATGCAGAAACTAGAAACTGGTATTATTATGTACTTAGAATATATCTAGAATTTTGATCAATTGCTTCGTAAGGTCTTGAGAAAAAAATTCTCTCTTAATGTTGAGAAACTTTTAATTTTTCGAAAACGATAATAAATAGAAATCTTAAGTTTGTAGTATAAAAATATCTCAGTGGTAATAGCAGCCCATGAAATGATGAGCCCGATACCTTTCTCAAGCCAATTCACTTTGTTTATCGTTCTATGGCTCTTCGTCTTTCTATGTGGAGTGCCAAAATTAAGTCACGATTTAAATTAAATATTCGTAGAAAACACAGCCTGTAGTCTTAATCATGTGATTTTTCATTGAATTTCATTTTCATAAATTATATAAAAATATTAGAATCATAAAATACTTAAAAATCTTGCTTTAATTTTGGGGCACCCTATATAAGGCTGTTTGAGTATTAAAAATCGCACAAATAAATAAAAAAATCTTTAAATTTTTTTATACCCAAAAAAAACATCAAGAATTGGTAGCAAAAGTATTATTGGTAAACACAAGCCAAAAGTGGCAACACCATTCATACTCGCGCTCTTCAAGCTTCCCACTTGTTAATATATTGTATATACTTTGCTTATATACTTGCATGTTAGCTTTGTGTTTATATGCATATATCTGCGTGCATATACATATTCACATATCTAAATAAACGAGTATGTGAGAATGAGAAGGTTTATGCGAGAGCGCTGAGCAAGAGAATTACAGAGCGATGTTGAATATTGATGTGTGCGGGTGGCAGTATTGAGTTGGTAGTAGGTGCCACTGATAAACAAACATACATATATACATATGAATTGTTGTTTTACGCTGTGTTGGTAATCAATGCAAACAATTCCAAGTCCAGAAATCATATAAATTGAACTAAAAGTTCTATTTAGCGGTGTTAAAATAGTTTGATTTTCATTTATTATGCACTAGATCAACAAGGAAGTTGACAAGAAAAAAAAATAAATTATTTGTGTATTCCCTTTTTATCTATTCTACATAATCGCCA